TTGTAAGTGTGTACCACCATGCCCAGAAATGAGTGAGTTTTACATCTTACTGTGTTTTTAGATTTCTTTTCAGATAGCTCAATCAAAAATACATGATTGATGCCTGGGGTGCCTGCCAGGCATGCCCCAGCACACAGACTGATTGAGACTGTAATCTCGCCTGTGCTCACCTGTGCTTGCCTGTAATCCCAGTGCTGGGGAGGCTGAGGCAGGAGGAGCATTATGAGTCTGAGCTGCGTAATGAGACCCTGTACCAAGTCCATAAATTTGTTTTTAAAAAGTGCCTATTTTGAATGATTTGTTGTAAATCATTTTGTGATTTCATTTTGTGATTTATTGTAATGCACAGAGACTTTCTATAATGAAAGAAAATATGAAACAAATGGATTCACCAAAAATAGGCTAAGAAAAGGGTCATCAAAGCAACTGAAAACAAAGAAAATAAAGACAATCATGTTAACCATGGAAAAATAAACATTGACATAATCAAAGAAATAAAATCATAGTATGCTGCTTAGCTTGGCAGAGAGAAATATTTATACACGCATCCTAATGACTTCAGTACAATTGTGACTATTACGTAGGGGAGTACGGGGATGAGGAGCAGGCAGCTATAAAGGGTAAGAGCTAAATCCCCAACTACCAGGGCAGAGGCAATCTCTAAAACTGATAAATCAAGATATATCTTTCAGAACCAATATATTTTTAAGAAATATAAATATAGGACCTGAGAGAGTATAACTCATGGTAGTTTCTGTCTAGCATGTGAGAAGAGAGAAGAGAGAGAAGACAGAGACAGAGAGGGGAGAAGGGAGAGGGAATATAAACTTAGGGTATAATTTTCTACCAGGAGAAAAAGGTAAAAGAACTAGGAAAGGGGTTGTCTAGGAAGTAGAAGGAAAGGTCTAATGAACTGCTTTTCTTCTAAGGGTTTTATAGTTTTATGTTTTCACCCTCGATGGATTATTTAAGAAGAAAACTAACTTTAAAGAAAAATTGAAAAATAGGGAATATATTGCAACAGCCATAAAACACTACCATTTACTAAACAGATATTAACAGCACAACAGACACCAAAACGTAATTCTCACCACTCTCATTTTGACAACACAATTCATTTGGAAAGAAAACTGTTCCTCATCCCGCACCAGGGCTTGCAGTGCCCACACAACTGTGCGGAAACTTGTTTTCTGCTCCACTATTTTTTCTTAATATATTGAAAGTTAAGCCTTTGACTTCATACGCTTTTTGAACATCTGTATTTTAAACTTACCAAAAACAGCTTCCTGCTCTCATCTATCTCTTCCTTTTTCTTTTTTAGTTTTTTTCTCATTTCTATTTCATGCAATAAGTTCTGTCGTTTTATCTCCTCAGCGTCTTTTTCTTCAAGTTTTTTCCTCTTTTCTTTTTCCTCTTCATGTTCCTTTATTCTAAAGAAAACATAAGAGTAACTGAAAACAAATCAGAGAAATCGGTCATGCTGTAAAGAAATAAATTAGAATTAACAGGATGACTTGAAGCTTAAGGAAGAACGGCGATTTTTCTCTGGGGAAAAGCATAAACATTAAATAGCAGTCACTCGAAACTAAACCTAGAACTGTCAGTGTTTCCCCTGCTTCCAAATTTGTTGGAAGCACTCTTCACCCCAACAAGCTCTGTGTGTTCCCTTTCTTGAGAAAGCAGCAACGAACTGAACGACGGGAGGGGCAAGGCTGACCCTATTTACAGAGAAGTCCCGGGTCTCCCGCTTCTGCACTGCGGCCCTCCTCGGTGCCGCTTCCAGGGGCCGGGCCTCGGCCGCGCTGGACCCCAGCTGGCCCGCCCCGCTGCTGCGGTCCGCGGCTGCCTCCTGGTGTCACCTCCAGGGGCTGGCTGATCTCCGCCACGGCCCTTCCATGCCCACGGCCCGCCCGAGGGACCCCACGACCCGTGGGCCTGCCCGGGGCTGCGCCCTCCGCCAGCTCTCCAGTATCTTCCTTCCTCCACGGGCAGGAACAAGCCAAATCAACAACCTAAGCGGCGCCAAGGAGCGGCGCCCTCAGCTTCGGGGACAGGGAATTCCCTTCTCGGTAGAAGGCAGCGCAGCGAGCCAGTAAATCCCGGGTGGGCGGCCCGGCGGGCAGGAGTCCTGTCCGGAAGGAGAGTTACTGCCATCCAGAGTAACCAGGTTTAGGATTGTCTTTAAGAAAATAAGTTGAGGGCTGGTGAGATGGCTCAGGGGTCTGGAGCACCTACTTAGAACAAGCTTAGCAAAGCACAGGGATGGCGGTTCAATCCCCCAGCACCACATGCCGGCCCAGCCCCGCCCCCTGGTGGGCTGAGCTGGACACACACACACACGCAGATCACTACGAGTCTGATCTAGTAGTGAGACCCTGAACACTCTGTAGACCCTTCCCTAAAATACAAAAGAAAGAAAGAAAGAAAGAGTCTTCAATTCCTTATTTTCTCATTTATTTAACACTATTTAATCTTTTATATCTATCAATATTATAATAAACTGACAAGCAGGCAGTTAAGATTTAAAGCATTTTATAAAAAGATATCCAAATCTGTGAAGTTTTTGAAGTTTTAAAATTGCTCTTTAAGGGAAAACAAGATATTTAAAAATGTATAACTTTAACATTTCTCAGAAAATCCAGAACATAATATTCATGCATCCACTGTAGCACTCATATTTTATTTTTAAAAAGTTAACCTATTTTGTGCATAGATAAAATAAAAAATGCTGCTTAGGGACGGTGGTGCACACCTGGCACCCCAGCACTTTGGAAAGCTGACACATGATTGAAAGTTCAAGCCCAGTGTGGCCAATTTAGTGACTTAGCAAGACCTTGCCTCAAAAACAAAAATCAAAAGGGCTGAGGAGGTAGCTCAGTGCAAAGGTCCTGGGTTCAATCCCTGGTACTACCAAAAAAAAAAAAAAGTAAACAGAAGAGAAAAGAAAAATTACAAAAATAGCTCAATGAATATCAGTAAAAAGATTATCAGTAATACGCACAAAATTCACAATAATTACAATTTTAATTTTTTCTCAATAAAGCCTTTTACTGGGCCAGGGCAATAGCTCAGCAACATCAGTGCCTGCCTGGCAAGTGCAAGGTCCCAAGTTAGATTCTCCCATACCAAAAAAAAGAAAAAGAGATAGGTTAAGGCTTTTACTTCAGTGGGCAATTTATCTTCCTATAAAGTGAACATGGTGAGGGCAATTTCAGGTCCTCTGGTTTAAGGAAGAAATCTGTAACATTTAAATCTTTACTTCCAACTCCCGAGCCCACAGCAGGCCCGTGACCACACAAAACTGCTTCCTGCAGAGTCCGAGGCCTCTTCCACCCTAATGCAGTGGGTAGTCTGCATCAAGGAGCTCTCCAGTCAGAGCTGATGTCACCAGAGCTCTCAGCCACCCAAGTGGCCATTCCAAACCCATGTCTAGCCTAGATATTGTTCTCAAGTTTAGATGGATCTTAAATAGTCCTCTCGTAAAAACAGGAGGGAACACTACCCAAAATTTGACTCAGGTGTCAAGGTTAACAATGCCCCATCCACCAAAAGAATTTGCAAAGGTCTTACACGACAAAGCCCAGTCAGAACTAGCTAGTGCGAGAGGGGCCGTATGGGCTTCCAGCAGAAGGGGTGGGTTGGGGTCTTAATCATGGTAAGAGCTGGGCCTGGGGAAGCTTCTGTATGGGGGAGTTACATTTCCTGCTGGCATCAACAGAAGGTGGATGGAGTCAGGGGCTCTTACCAGCCTGCTCAGATAAGGGCCAAAGGGGAACAGAGGGCTGAAGCCTAAAAGGAAGTTGGGAGTCAGATAGAAAAATGTAGCTGCCTTTGTTACAACATTCTTACAGAGATGACACACAGCATCACCACCTGGCTACTGCCTAAGTGCTTTACACCCACTATTATCTAAACCAAACGCAGTCTTATTCTTTTTTGTCTTTTTGAGATCAGGTCTTGCTATGCAGTTCAGGCTGGCCTTGAGCTCACTGTGTAGCCCAAGCTGGCCTTGAACTTGCAGCCATACTCCTTCGGCAGCCACCTGAGGTGCCACCAAACCCAGCTGTCATCTTCTAAAACGATCTTTTTGGTCTCTTTTATTTTTAAAAAAAAATCTTTTTATTTTTTATTTATTTGGTACAGGATCTCGCTACACAGCTCAGACTCATAGTGATCCTCCTGTCTCAGCCTCCACAGCAGTGGGATTACAGGCATGTGCCACCATGTCTTTTTGGTGGCCAGCTCCACAGCGTGTGGTACCGGAGATTGAACCCAGGTCCCTGTGCTTGCCAGGCAGGGACTTAAGACTGTGCTGAGCTATCTCCCCAACCCTCTTTTGCTTTTTTTTTTTTTTTGGGGGGGGGGGTTTTTTCTGTTTTTTTTTTTTAGCAGAACCAGGGATTGCACTCAGGCCCTTGTGCTTGCCAGGCAAGCGCTTATTCTACTAAGCCATCTCCCCAGCCCTCTTTTGCTTATTTTGGTGAAGAGCGCCTCCATCTTTTCAGTTACCTATGCTAATGACCTAAGAATCATATTTAACTCTTTTTTAATCTTAGACCTCATATTCAATTATCTAATAACTATTTATCAAATTTCTATTATCATGATGAAAGCAGACATGGTTCCTGTCAGCCCTGACTTGAGAGAGAGACCCTCTCCGCAAACAGGCCACCCTCACAAACAACAGGAAACCAGGAAAGGGCCATGCTGCCCTCAGCAAACAGAACAGATGGCCATAACGAAAATTTAGGAAGGCTGGGGAGATGGCTCAGTAGAATAAGCACTTGCCTGGCAAGCGCAGGGGCCTAAGTTCAATTCCCGGGAAGTACAATATTATTTACATACCTGCCTACACTTACCGTCCTCGAAACTCTGAACTTAAACACTGCATCCAGATTCTTTGGCATTACAACCCAAGCCCTTTAAAAACTTAACTTCCCAGGGGCCTGCCCCTTAGTTCAGTTCTTTAAGTGGCTGCTTCAACAAAGCCACCAGGCTCAGGTTGCTGTGGTCTGATCCCCACAACTCAAGCCAGCCAAACCTGCCCTGAAGGCATTCTGAGCAAAACAAAACAAAAAAACCCTTAACTTCCCCTCCTGCCAGCACATCATTCACAAACTCAGCCTCTCTGTGCCCAGGCAGACAAAGTCCAGCCTTTGGCCCACCCAAAGCCTGTGGATGGTTTCTCATGTGCCGCTGATAATGGTTCTGCCTTCAAAAAGCTTACTTTCTAATGAGGGGTACAGGCAACAGCAAACAATGGAAATAGGCAGCATAATTACAAATTGTGGTGTTACAAGAAAATAAGTGAAGAAAAATAATGACTGAAAGGTTTGGCTCACTCTGAACAGAGTGATACCCTAAGTCAAGGAAGGCCCCTCAGAGACAGGAAGAAGCCCACAGATGGACAGTGGAAGAACAAAGTTCCAGTGCAGAGAAAAAGTATGTCAGGAATGTTATAACCTGTCCATAATGCCGTCCTCCTGTTCTGTATGCGCCGTCATAGTGAACCATGTCAACTACTGTAAAATGTGACTTTTTGTTTCTTAAGCCCACTCCCTTGTTATGCCCTGACATTAGTAACTCCATCTTGGCTCTCTGATTCACCTTTGCCCTAGTTAATTATAATGACTCCATCTTGGTCCTCTGATTCACCCTTGCCCTGGTTCTGAAAATGTCTTAAGGTGAAGAAAAACAGGTGTTCCTGGCAACCTCGCCCCCATTGTCCTTATAAGGTCAGCATGACTGCATACCTACATTACACACCCTGTTCTGTACTCCACCTAGCCCAAAGGGGTAACTCTTCTGTGTCCAGCTTCCTCCAGGTGGGCTACAACCAATCCTGTAAAAGGTCATGTGCCCCTTTAACCTGCTATTGGCTTCTGTGATCGGCTTGCTTGGATGGGCAGTTTTGCGGTTTTTGGGTTTAAATTACTATGCCTCCCCTTACTTGGGGCTCCCCTCTGTCTCTCGGACTCTGAGGGTGCCGCTGGGTACCAGCTAAAATAAAGTGCTACTGGGGCTGGTGAGATGGCTCAGTGGTCTAAAGCACCTACTTAGAACAAGCTTAGCAAAGCACAGGGACCGCGGTTCAATCCCCCAGCACCACATGCCAGCCAGCCCCGCCTCCTGGTGGGCTGAGCTGGCCACACACACACACACATAAATAAATAAATAAAAATTTAAAAATAAAATAAAATAAAATAAAGCGCTACCATCTTTTTTGGACGTTTTGCCTCCTTGTCTCCTTCTTGGGTTACAACAAGGAACACGTGGGCAAGGAAGTTTATAGAAGTGCTCAAGGTCCCGGAAGATCTGAGCACTGGGGATAATAAGCCAGGGGAAGGAGTAGAGAGGAGGTTGAGAAGAGAAGGCTAGCCTCAAACTCAAGGCAGTCCTCCCACCTCAGCCTCCCAAACTCCAAAAATACAGGCTTACAGCACCATACCTGGCTTCGTTGTTTTTTTTTTTTTTTTTTTTTTTACTAGAAATTAGGATTGAACTCAGTCGCTTGCACTTTTTGTTTTTTTTTTTTTTTTTTTTTTTTTTTTTGTTTGTTTGTTTGTTTGTTTGTTTTTTTTTTTTTCTGACACAGAGTCTCACTGTAGTTCAGGCTGGCCTTGAACTCAATGTTTAACCCAGGCTGGTCTGGAGCTCATAGGGATCCCCTGTTTCAGTCTCCCCACTGATGGCACTACAGGTGTGAACCACCACCCTTGCCAATTTCATTTTAAACGAATGTGAAGTCACTCAAGTGGTGAAGGTAGAAGTATATGATAAATTTTCAATTTAATAGTATCTCTGCAGTTAATAGCTAACATGATTGGGGACTAAGAAAGAGGGGCCAATTAAAAGGCTGATGGAGTCCCCAGGACTGCAAAACACGCAAACAAAATGTGAAAGTGGCCTGGACCAAGACAACAGTGGTAAGCTCAAGATTTATTTTCAAGAGGAAAAACAATGAATTCCTGATGGATCTGACAGGACGGATAAAAGGAAATGAGTTGTCAAGGTAGATTCCCAGGTTTCCGGTCTGAAGAGCCAGGTGATGGTGGTGCCCCTGCGAAGCTCACAGGAAGGTGGGAAAACAGCAACCTTGTGCTGGACGTTTTATGTTTGAGCTACACATAAGATGCTGAGATACAGACAGGGAGGCTGCTGGATGCTGACTCTGGGTTGAGGGAAGAGCCCGAACTGCAGTGACAGAGCCAGGCTGGCGCTGAAATCTGTACAGGGTGGGATGTCACTTAAGCCCGCTTTGTTCTTGCTGCTTTCTCCCAAAATGATCTCATGGGTGGAAAGTAGTACAAATGATCCTGTGATGCCTTTCCCTTTGCAGGGAAGCTGATGGGATCGACTGTCAGATTTCTCTGGTTTCCGTGCACTTTCCATGACATATATTTCCCAAGACATTTATCATCACATTCTAATGTTTTCCTTTTCTCTACCCTCCTTCCCCAGACAATGAACTTGAGGGAAAGGTTTTCTCATGTTCTACGGTAAGGTGTACCAGCCTCTTTCAGTAGCTTACCTTTCTATTACCCAGAGAAAGAATGGGAGTTTTATAGTATGGATAGATATTCTGCTAAGTTTCTTTCCAATGGAACTTTTATGGTTCTTGGTCAAATCCCTGTCCTGAATGGCTGTGGTGTCACTAGTACTATACATCCCTGTCCCTGGCAGGTGGTCAGTCACAGGGAGATTCTCACAGACTCTGTGTGAGAGCATACTAGTGAGTGGCAACCTTCTTTGTACTTTTTCTATGAGATATGTTAGCATATACTTATTTATAATTAGAGAATACAAAGGGTTGGCCAAATAGCTCAGCGGGCCGGGGAGCTGGCTCAGTAGAATAAGCAAGTGCAAGGGCCTGGCAAGTGCAAGGGCCTGAATTCAATCCCCGGTTCCACCAAAAAAAAGAAAGAAAAAAGGAAAGAAAACAAATATCTCAGCAGATTAAAGTGCCTGCAAGCAGGCGCAGGGGCCAGGGGTTCAATCCC